ATCTCTTGACCTCGTGATCCACCCGCCTCGGCCTCCCAAAGTGCTGGGATTACAGGCTTGAGCCACCGCGCCCGACCTCCTTCTGGATTTAACTGAGTTTTACAGAAGGAAATTCACATTGAAATAGATAGTATGGTAGAAGAAAAACTTGTAGGGTTGTTCATTAAACAAATAACCTTAATGTTCACTAACTTTTTATTCTTTTAGAGCTTTATGTATGGCTAAATATGGTAATATCTGATTAAAATGGTTATGCCTTCTTTGGAATATAATTGATTGAGCATATACAATTTTAATTTTTATCATTAGGAAGACTCATTGACCAACAGTCTAACAAGCTGGCCAAAGAGGAAATGTTGCAAATGATACGGCATGGAGCCACCCACGTTTTTGCTTCTAAAGAGAGTGAGTTGACAGATGAAGACATTACAACTATTCTGGAAAGAGGGGAAAAGAAGGTTAGTTAAAATAGCATTTTATCTTCATGATGGATTGCTTTAAAATCAACATACTTCAGCAAACTTGTATTTGCATTGTACATGTGTATCTATATGTTTCAGATAACTCATATTCTTTCCAACAACTTGTAGATCTATTTTCAGCGGTAGATTAGGGCTTAAAAATTTTGTTTTTGGTGAGAAAGAGTAAGAACCAGAGTTTAAAACAGAGTGATCTTATACCTAATGCTTTATTGAAAATACTATATCTAAAAGCTAAGTAAATTTTGTGTTTAATCACGTGTATAAGGACTGCATTTTTTTTTTTTTAGAGACAGGGTTTTGCTCTGTCACCCAGGCTGGAGTGCAGTGGTGCAATCATAACTCACTGTAGCATCCACCTCTTGGGCTCAAGTGATCTCCCACCTCAGCCTCCTGATTAGCTGGGACCACAGGCGTGTAACCAACATACACATCTAATTAACTTTTTTTTTTGTAGAGGCAGAGCCTTGCTGTGTTGCTGTTCCTGATCTTGCACCTCTGGCCTCAAGTGAACCTCCCAAATCTGCCTCCCAAAGCACTGAGATTATAGGCATGAGCTACCATGCTTGACCCGGACTGTATTTTTATAATCTTTTTTTTGTACTGGATTAGAAGTCATCTACTGATACATTGGTTAATTGAAAATCTTTTTTTTTTTTTTTTTTGAGACGGAGTTTCGCTCTTGTTACCCAGGCTGGAGAGCAATG